AACAACAACAACAACAACAAGAACCAACAACAACAACAACCAACAACAACCAACAACAACCAACAACTACCAACAACAACAACAACAACAACAACAACAACAACAACAGCAACAGCAACAAAAATCCCGGACACGTGTCATGCGAAGCTTTAACAACTCAAGCGTTCCGACTGGCCTTCGCACGGTCGGGCACAGCCTCATCGGAGGATCAGGATATGGGTATGGCACTGGGTAGAAAGTCAATTGACTACTGACGATGATGAGACAAAGGCTTATGACGTGCTTATGATGATGATGGCCATGATGATGGTGATGATGATGATGATGATGACGATGATGGTGCTGACAGTCCTTGGTACTGTCCGTGTTTTCACCTTCGACGCAAAGTAGTGTTTGGAGCCTCACAAGCATGTAGGGAGCTGTTGCTAAGACCCTCTTCGAAATCTGAAAGTCGCTGCTGGCCCAGACTGCACCTTCGTCCTAAGCCGACCCTTCGTCCACGCTGTTGGAAAAGCCTTGCAGCCTTGCATTCTCTGCTCAGTTACGACTCCCACGCACCTCATTAAAACACAGCCGATGAAACACACACGTCCTGCTCATGTCATGGCTCTAAACGCCAGAATCATTTGCTATGTTGATTATTGCTGATACTGGTGATTATGGTAGTATTATGGTTATCATTACACTTCTGATAGGAAAACCGACTGTTCTTGGTAATGACAATACAAATTTTAGACTATTATTATTATTCGTCGTAGTAGTGGTAGTAAGATCACTGACATTATTCGTACTCGTATTACCATTCGTATTACTATTGGCACCAATATTTGTTGAGATTGCTCGTAGTTCTACTGTTGTGTCGTTGGTGTTCTTATTCATGTGATTATGGCTATTGTTGTTATGTTGATTCTTCTTGTTCTTGTTATACTGTTTGTGAGACATGTTGACTGTTGCCAAACCACGAACCCCAAACTCTGAGCCCGCAACCTTGAACCCTGCACGTCCCTCACGAGGCACAGCCCGAAATTGGTGAGTTCTGACCGAGTGCTCCGGGCTGTCTATTTAGGGGTTCAGGGTCGTGCATCAGGCATGTACCGTGCAGACAGGAATAGTCTAGAAGGCTACTTTTGGAGTTTGCGATAAAGCTACTTGGCTACTTTTGCGCTACTACGAGCTATTTGGGGTGATACGATAGGGCTGACAGGGGTAATTTGGCTAGCATAAAACGCAGGACTGTGCTGCCAATCAGCATAGATCGCACCGTCTTTGGCTCGCATTCCTGCCATGCCGGCCGAAGATGCCACGATACAAACTGCTCACTCTAACCCTAAAACCTCAACCCTAAACCCTAAACTAAACCCTAAACCTCCTCCCTCAGACTCCACCAATTCTTCTCTACGAAAGGATCGACATGCAAGGGCCTGTGCTAAGAAGCGTTTGGCTTCGGGACAGTTAGAGCTGCGGAACCCGCGATGCAGACATACTGATTGCCATCTGTTTCACCTATATCCAAATGGTGTTGTCCAAAAACAACCATAGGCGGAGGAATACCGGTAAAAACAAGAACCTAAATTCGCCTCGGCCCCTGTTCCTATTCGGACTTCCATTCACCCTCCAAAGTAGCCCTCGCGGGGGGGGTCCTTCTGTGTGAACCCGAAAATGAGCCCAGGGTCCTGCGGTGAAATCTTGCCTCCTCCAATGCATTTGGGCTCTCTGTAGAGAGTCTCACCCGCCCGTGCGCCCCCCTTGCCCCACCGCCGCTCCGCCCAACCCACCCCCGGCCCCGTGTCCGGCCCCCCCCTTGCCCCCTCTCCCCTGCCTTGCTTCTCCTTCCCCGGTCCTCGTCCGTTCCGCCAACAGCGCCCAGCAGTTCGTTGGCCCTCTTTGTTTGCGGCCGGGCCGAAGCGTTTAGAATTAAAAAAGAACTTAGCAGCAACAGCAGCAAGACCTTAGAAACAGCCACGCTTGCCCATTCGCCTAGATAGTCATCGAGCAAACCGATGATACCACGATGTTTATTCATTTCGCTACCATGGAAAATTAGTAGCTTGGGAATGCAACGCTGCATTGCAACATCGCAACAGATAGCGATTAGTACAGCACCAGGGCATTTGAGTCCCGAAATCCTACACCTCAAAACCCCTGAACCCCCACACCCGAAAACCCCCAGGCCCAAACCCTATTCTAGTTCCTTTAAAGGGAGCCCATGCCCCCAGTCCTCCTTGCCACTTCGAGTTACCAGGTTGGCGAAACCCGTCCTGTGGGTGAGCGGAAGGATGTCAGAGGCACGTCATATTATTGGGAGATTCTGAAAATGAGGGGTACCTTGTGTTGGGGTCCTTAGAATAAGAATCCTACTATTTAGGGTGCTATGTTAGGGTCCCCTATTTTCGGAAACCCCCCTATAGGCCCATCTAGGTGCAGAGGTTCGGCTTCCCAAACCCAAACCAAACCCAAAGCTTTAAAGCCAAAACAATGATCACAAGGAAGACTCTGCGAGTCATCATCTGAGTGAGAGTGAGAACCACGATCGAGATCATGTTGTTCGAAAATTGAAAACACTTTCGGTTTAGGGTCCTTCCCAACCTTAAACCCCACGCCCCATGGTGATTGCCTCACAGTTGGAACAACTTGCTGCCCTCCTTCCCTGGCGCCAGCTACTGTATAGGGAAAACCAGCACCAAATACCTTGTTCCCATTAAACCCAAAGGCCCAAACGCAAATCCCCATAAGCTCAGGCCAAAGACCCTCATCCCCAAAACCCGAACTACCTGCAAACCTTCAGCCCCAAACCCTGGAGCTCAGCATTTGAGGGTTTAGGATTTAGGCTTAAGCCCTAGACCCTAATCCTAGGTTCTCCAGTAACCCCTTAGAAATACGGGTGCCCTTTTTGCCCACTATTTGGCCTTAATAAGGAGACCCCAAACCAAAAGGGTACAAGGGTACTACTGGGGAACCTAGAATCCGTAACACCCGAATCCCAAAGCCCCAAGTTGCCCTAGAGCCCAGCATTGGAGCACCCCAAGGTCCAGTAGCGAGACCTCCTCTGTAGCAGTGTTGATCTTCAACACGGCATCCTCGGGTCGTTTGGGGTTCAGGGTTGAAAGTTTCGAGTTCAGGGGTGAAGGGGCTTAGGGTTTAGGGGTTTAGGGATTTAGGGTTTAGGGGCTTAGGGTTTAGGGCTTTAGAGCTCAGGGGTTTAAGTCTTTAGGGCTTTGGGTTGTTTGTGGCTTTCAGAATGCAAGGAAAAGGGTCTAAGCTTCAAGATTGAAGGCCTAGCTTGTAACCCGAAGAACGTCCCCTGTACTGGCACGAAAGTATGGTATCGCTTCGGCTACTTGGGAATCATGATCATTACGCTGATGCTGGCGCAGAATAGCCTACATAATATGTTCACGTGGTTGATGTAATTGACGACGGTTCCGATGATGATGATGTCGAGTTTGACTTTGATGGGGCTGATGGCGATGATGATGATGGTGATGCTGATGATGATGATGATGACGATGATGATGCTGATGTTGATGTTGTTGATGATGATGATGATGGTGATGACAGATGAAGTCCAGCCGAAATACCAAGCACCGGGTTCGATCCCCTTGGCCCTAAACCTTCAACACTGATCTAGGGGCCCAAATAATTCCCAGAACCATCTTGGGGGGGGGGGGGTCCTTCTTGTAATAATCGCATAATATACCCCAAAACACGATTGTAACTTTCTAACTATTAAGGCCCCTACACCGTAAACCCTTACAGTAGCCATTATGGAGCCCTTTAAGGAACACCAAAACCCTAGTCTAATTATTAAGGCCCCTGCAGTAAACCTTGAAGCCTGGCCCCGGAAACTCAGCCGCCCTAGGGCTCCGTACTGTGAACCGCATCCCTGGTTTCGGGTTTAGGGTTTAGGGTGGCGGTTTTGGGCACAATGAGGGCTTAGGGGTTAAGGGCTTTTTTAAATCCAATGGGTTTTGGGGTTTAGGTTTTAGTGTTCAGGGGAGACTTCCAGATTGAAGCTCTACCAAAATCACCACGATTTCCCTTATCTGCAGCAAGGAGCATGGTTGCTTGGAAAGCCATACCTTTGCAGGATGAGGCACATCGGGGGAAGGGGCTGGGTTGTTGGCACACCTCGCGAATTAATATAGGGGCCTTAATATAATTAGAATAGGGTTTTGGGGCGCATTATACTATAATTTAATTATAAGAAGGAACCTCGAAATAGTATAGGTAGCTGTTTGGGCCCCTATATTACAGAAGAACGGCGCGTCCAATGGTAGCGAAACAATGAATATGAGCGGACGGACAGCTGTAACTCCTTGTGCCGAGCCTTCTGTAAAATAGCAGGACAGTCAGTCGGGGGCGCGGAATGCCTGCAGATCTCAAGTTAACGACCCAGATTTTAAGAACTTTGGGCTTGCAGTTCACCTAGACCGCGCCAGTCTTGCCATAGAGAGGCTTAGACAAATCAGGGCCGATGCTACAACGACAACAAGAGCTTCTGCTTATTCCTGGTAGAATTTGCACTACAAGCACTTCTGGTGGTGCTGCCAACATGTAGCACAACGACGCTATCACTATGCCACTACAACTTTCACCACAGGGTAATTACCACCACAACTACGAGTACCACTGCGACTACGACGACTTCTAAGTACTGCTACCACTGGTTACCGCGAAGACGATGACGACGACAACTGCGACCACTGCAGCCAGCATCACCTGCCGCTACCACAAGCACGAGCACCAGTCCTACTCCTAGGCCTGGGCCTACTCCGACTCATACTGCCACCCCTACTCCTACTCCTACTCCTACCACTACCCCTACTCCTCCTCCTCCTGCGGCTCCTCCTCCTCCTTCTCCTCCCCCTCATCCTCCTCCTACTCCTCCAGCTGCCTATTTCACGATGGTGATGCCTGAAGAAGAGCTTGGCAACGATGATGATGACGATGGCCAGAATAGTGAATTTTGATGATGGTCATGGTAACACTGACGACGACAGTGATCATGCTGAGTCATGATATTTTACTGGCTAGCAAACGTAGTACTTGCATGTTACATCAGCTCCTCCTGGCTACTTGACCAGCGAAGACAGGACACACAGCGCCGTCCGACGCAGCGCCGCCGCCCCACCTGGATTTGCTCTTGCCAAAACTACGAGTGAGCTTAGCGGCCAATGCATCGAAGTTCCTCTTCTTATGCACGTCTATACCCAGGCTGTCTTCATATTGCTATACATCCATCTGCATCGGTTGCGGTTGCTTTCGTTTGCGTGATCTTCTTGGCTTGCCTCTCTGCAGGTGAAAGTGGGAATTGCTTTGAAGCATGAGTCACATTATTCGTAGCGATGTTCATGACACTAGTTGCAGTCATACCAACAGCAATGTAAGACAACTGCCGAACAACAGTATGAACATGACAATGACAAGGAAATAAGAACAATCCATTGCCTTATTATCATTATTGATACTATGGGGTGTGACCAAGAACAACTCATCTGGCTAAGCTGCTGGCTTCCAGAAGACATTTCTTTCTGAAGGTACGGACCTGTTGCACCGCTAGACTCTCTGGATCGACTGACGAAGGGCGGTGCAACCTTAGCTAACTTCGTTCCTTGGCCTCTAGGTTCCTCAATCGCTTCGCCGCTGCAGGCGACGATGTCTACAGCAGCAGCTTTTTTGAGTTGCTTGAGCATCCTGCTTACCAGTCGAGCCTGCGGCTCTGATTACGAAGGTCAGCTGTTGCCCTGAGATCACTCATCCCTACTGCGTTAAGGGTTCAGGGTTCTTTTTTGCAGCTCTCAGGTTCACAGAATTAGCATATTCTCCTTTTTTTCAATGACTACCACCATCGCTGCCATTAGTATCGCTACGCTCGCTTCTATTACCAGATTACCATGGTCAGTCTTGTGGCATTGTCGGCAAGTCAAAAACTGTTACATGCGCGGAAGATCCTTACTACGATTCTTGCAGCTGATGTACGGGCTTCAATAATTAGATTAGGGTTTTGGGGCCATTATACTATAATTTTATAAGGGGGAACCCCAAAATAGTATTGACAAGGCCCTATAGCTTCGGCCCCCTAAACCCCTTTACTCCCAACCCGAGACCGAACCCTAGGCCGTAGCAATAGTCACATCGTAACGTAGGCGCCTTAATAATTAGAAGAGGTTCTTGGGTGATATCATACTTATATTTACGAGAAGGGCTTCGCGGCAATGACATTACTACTAAATCTTCTATAATGCTCCCTAAACTCTAAACCCTAAACCCTAGACCCCTAAACCCTATTGCTCCCGAACTCTTCACTCTTCGGATAGCCAGGGGACTTGTAGGGCATCGAGGTAAAATCCCCGAGTAGCGACACTTCGCCTTCACGCGTGCTGACAGTGTTTAGGGTTTAGGGTTTCGGGCTTAGGGTTATGGTGGAACCGGCCACAATGGCGAAAATGATGCTCAGGATACGTGATTTGTTGGCCAAGCCGGAACATCCGGCAATGACAACAGCAAGCATTGGCAATAACATACCATACTGGACTATAATATGCGATAATACACCAGAGAATACTTTGTTGTTCTATGATATACTGTAATATACTACGTGGTGCTATAATGTACGCCAGGATACCATTTAAACAAACCATGATATACTGTAGTGTCCTATAATCTACGATGACATACTAGAGTATACTATCATATACTATGATAATTTAATACAGTATTACATATCACGATATACTTCAATAATAATATACTATAGCACCGGAATTAGAGTTTTTCTCTTAGTAACTAAGACTATCACACCCCTATTGTCCCGAACATAGTTACGTTTAGGCCTTGCGCAGAAAGTGATAGGCCACTTAGTCCGTTCGAACAACTCAGTGACTAACTGACTATCGGAGCCTTGGGTTCAGATGACAGTATCCCCTAAGCCCTAAACCCTAAACCTAAACCCTAAACCCTGAACCCTGAACCTTAAAATACTAAACCCTAAACCCTGAAACCCTAAACCTAAACCCTGAACCCTCAAGCCTAAACCGTTTCCTAAACCCTAAACCCATGCAGGAGCTTCCCGGTTCTGCCTGTCTTTGGGACGATCTTCAGCACCTCAGAGCGTTTCTTTGCGGCTCACATGAGCAGCCAGCGCTCCAAACCGTCGCTTCCGGCTTGGGATGTATAGGGCTTAGGGCTTACGGTTTAGGGTGCACCACAACTACCACGGCTGCCATGGCGATGAGATTCTAGAATATCCCTAAACCGGAAACCCTCTAAAAAACTCCGACCCTCACTGTCTCAAGAGCCTAGAAACCTTAAACAAAGCGGCGGGCAGTGGTCCAACAGAGCCCCAATCCCGGAAATCTGCCAACCGGTGCGATCGTCAAAAATGCCTTTCTTGGGGTTCGGGGCTGCGGCTCCTCTTGGGGTTTACCATTTAGGGTCTAGGGTTTAGCCTCTTGGAGTTAGCTACGGACTCCGGAATCAAGTTCTCCGTTCTGGATACATGCCGCTAGATTCCTGCGACAATACTTATAACATCACTATAACCTTATATACTAGAATGTGATCAGATAATAAGAGAACGTACTATATCGTAAGTTGTGCCGGACGGCCCAAAACAACTGATTTCCCCAAGCAGGGACGAGGCATGGACCAGGAGCATGGGTGAACTGTGGCCCTAAACCCTAAACCCTACTGTGCCTGTCGAGCTGCGCTGCGCGCATGAGAGGGGATCCCATATACTGCACCATCCGGGCCGACTACGCCACCTGGAGTTTAGGATGGAGGGTTTAGGGTTTAGGGTTTAAGGGTTTAGGGTTTATGTAGGGGCCTAGGGTTTTCTTAAAGTGTTATGAGACTTTCGCTCCGCACACCTCAAGTCTCAGCCCTGTGGGCCGAACACTAACAAATACTACCTCAGACGTCACCCTCCATGAGAGCTCACTTAGGGTTTAGGGTTTAGTAAATCGGGTTCATGGTTTGGGATTGAGGTGTTAGGGTGTATATGAGGTTCCGGTTTTAGCTTCGGAGCTTTAGAATTTCAACTTGAGCGGGTGCCTCCTCCAGTGCCCACATGGATTCTGCTAGTGTCACATCATGACATACCATGCCTTGAATGCCAACTCGGGTGTATCTATGATTGGAAGTGTGACCAAACTCCAGGTTCAAGCTCTATGCCCTCACAACCGCCAACCGTCATCACTCAGCCCTGAAGAAAACCATCTCCAACATCCCATGACTATCCGAGCTAGTCGGGCAAGTGCTCTCTCTAAGCCCTAAACCCTAAACCTTGTAAACCCTAAATCCTAAACCCTAAGCCCTGAACCCTAAACCCCTAAACTTTAAATCCTAAACCCCCAAGCCCTAAACCCTAAACCCCTACATAAACTTTAAATCCTAAACCCTTACGCCACAAACCCTAAACCCCTACACTCTAAATCCTAAACCGCTAAGCCCTAAACCCTGTGCGTCAAGCTTGGCTTCACGGGTACTGTGGGAGAGCGCGGGGTCTGGGCCATAACGGTAATATAGGAGCCTTGATAACAACCAGAATGGGGTTTTGGGGTCTGCTATACTATAATTATAACAAGGAACCCCCAAAATAATATAGGTAATTCTTAAAACCCCTATGTTACTTGGACCTGCATGGGCAGCTGTAAATGGGGGTTATCAGTCTTTTCATCTGACTTAAAGCTCAAGGTATCCTACCTATAAGCTTGTTTGTTGTGTGGGCTATAACTATAGCTGTCATACTTAAAAGCCTATTTTAACTATCCATGAACCTCCAAGCAGGGTACCCTGAACCCTAAACCCCTAAACCCCTAAGCCCTAAACCCTAAACCCCTAAACCCCTAAACCCCCAAAACCCTAAACCCTAAACCCTAAACCCCAAACCCGAAGACGAAGAGACCCAAGCCCTCAACCCTGGACCCAGGGCTTCGGATCGACGGGTTTCTGGGTGAATTAAGTGTTTAAGAGTTTAGGGTTTTGGGTTTTCGGGTTTAGGGGTTTGGGGTTTAGGGTTTAGGGGTTGGGGTGTGGGGTTTAGGGGTTTAGGGGCTTGGGTTTGCGGTTTAGGGTGTCATGTAGGGGCCTTAAGAATCAGAATAGGGCTTCAGGAATCATTATACTATGATTATCACAAGGAGCCCCTCAAAATAGTATATGCAACCATTGATTTAGGCGCCTATATTACAGGAATTAAACCTCAGAACAAAGTTCCGAGGGATGTTCTAAGACTCGGGTGTCAGCAGAACAGTTGGCGCCAAGGAATATCTATGTACGTATGCATGTCGTAGTAGACACATATGTAAATGTAGATGTATACGTATATGTATGTATATACATATATATATATATGTACATGTCCTTGTATATGTATATGTATATATATATATATGTACATGTCCGTGTATATATATATATACATATATGAATATGAAAATGTATAGGTGTGTGTGTGTATGTATGTGTGTATATAATATTGGCAGCTACTTAAAAGACTTAGGCCCCTGTACTAAGACCTCTCATCAGCACCGCCGGGCCGCCATGCCACTTCCACTTGCCCTCGGGCAAGGAGCCCATCGTTGAGACCTCGCCGGTCTCCGGCACAATCCTCAAAGTTGGGCTAGGAGGAGCCTTACTAGTTAGAATAGGGTTCTGGGGTATATTATGCCATAATTATAAGGCACCCCCCAAATAGTACATATAGGTAATCAGTGAGGCCCCTATATTAAGGCTTGAAGGGCTTTGGGGCTTGCGGCTTGGAGTTTAGGGTTGAGGGTTGAGGGTTTCATTCTTTTGGGGTTGTTCATTAGGATCTCCAGCTCCAGCCTAACGTAGTGGCCTTAATTATTAGAGTCGGGTTTTGGGGCCCATTCTACTATAGTTACGTATAATAAGGACCCCCAAAAAATATTGTATGCAATTATTTAAGCCCCTATGTTACTTGCAGGTTCATGGTTTGCTTCAGTAGGGTTATAGTTTAAGTTATAAGTAAGATAACTACCGTGATAAACCATACTTAAAAGACTTATAACGTCACTAATACACCACCCAGGAACCTCCAAGTAGTATCTCACATTGGAAATCATGCAAACCGCCTGGGTAGGGGGCTATGTATACATTAAGGGCCCCCATATTCCCTGAAACTCTCAAGACAAAAACCAATAACCCTGAATCCCTAATGTCTGCTGCTTCTCTTCTTCGAGCGATTTTCGGCTTCTGTTTGAGGTGCACTGGGCTTTCACTCCGCAAAGCAGGGCGTCCATGCAGCCTGTACAGGTTATTTTGGTGTTTAAGGATTTAGGCTAAACCCTAAACCCTGTAGCAGTTCTCGCTATATATGCTATTAGCCCAAAGATGTTCGTGCTGTTTTGGGTCTCTTTTGCATCTGTAGCACACCTTTGCATGCTTTGAGTCTCTTGTTTCTTCCCCGACTTCGCATGTAATGGGGGGCCCGAACACACAGCAGGCCAAGTAAGGCATGCATGCATACCGTCCCTAGTGAATCGCCATCATGGTTTAGTGAGCACCAAGAGTCTTCAACACCTGCCGAGCATTGTAAGGGATGCCATAGATGGCGCCGTCGTCGCCCGGCAGCCCACCTCAAAACCCAGCGTGAAGACCCGAACATCGCCACCAAACCCCTATATAAACAAGCGATGGGTGAAGGTTTCAGCTTTGTAGAAGCTTGTCTAAGCGTCATTGGCACTGGTAATGTGAGCCGTGTAGTTGTGGCAGTAATTCTGATAGTGGTAATGGAAGTGCTGAGAAGAGGTAGATGCAGACGCAGCGGCAGTGGTGTAGTACCAAAAGCTTAGGGCAGTCATCGATGGAATTGGAGTAGGGCTAGGGGTGTGGGTAGGGGTACGCGCTACAACTACCACTACCACTGCTGCTGCTGCTCCTTCGCCCACCACCACCACCACCATCAGCACCACCAGCACCACCACCACCACCACCAGCACCACCACGACGAC